GGCCAGTCGAGGGGAGAACCCGAGAAGGGACCACGTCGGGCCTCCTCCGGCCGGCCTCCGGCTACGTGGCCCTTCCCTGGCACGCTCGCTCGTGGCAGCTTCTCCTCCCGCTTGGGACGGTCCCAGGATTTCAGAAAGCACGGCTGCGCGCGCACAGGCGCCCACCCTGTGGCCAGATGGGGCTCAAGGGGCGGAGGGGCCAAGCAGGGTCCCGAGAACCCGAGAAGGGACCACGTCGGGCCTCCTCCGGCCGGCCTCCGGCTACGTGGCCCTTCCCTGGCACGCTCGCTCGTGGCAGCTTCTCCTCCCGCTTGGGACGGTCCCAGGATTTCAGAAAGCACGGCTGCGCGCGCACAGGCGCCCACCCTGTGGCCAGATGGGGCTCAAGGGGCGGAGGGGCCAAGCAGGGTCCCCCCCCAATGAGGCAAGCCCACACGAAGGGGGAAAAGAGCTTGGTGGCTGCCAAGCGGGGTGCATTTTGGGGCAAAAGACAGAGAAATCTCACACTGTGCGTGCGTGCGTGCGCGCACACACACACACACACACACAGAGGGGGATCTGAAATGGCAGGGACTGATCGGCAAGCAAGGCTGGGGGAAACCCGAGGGAGACAAGCACGCTTTGGTCAGGGGAAGAGGAGGAGGGACGGAGCCCGTGAAGGACCGAGGAGGAGGAGGAGGAGGAAGGCTCCGGTCGGTGCCGAAAAGAAAAGAAAAAAGGGCTTCCTTGGACTAGCACCGAAACATGAAATCTAAAAGAAGGCAGTCGCTTGAGGATAAATTATACGTTCCAAATGGTGCAAGCTTTCAGATCATCCAGAACTCTTCGTGGGACTAATTGGTAGCAAACAGAAGGCAGGGTGGAGGTTTCCTGGCATGGGGACACCCCTTCCGCACAGCGCCTGGTTTCCACCCTGGGGCTGAATTTAAACCCCCCCACCACCAGCTTCTGTGCCTTGAAACTGCTCGGCACCTGCCAGAGCGCTATCGGCTGGAGGAAGAATTCTGGAAAACCGAAAAGCTTGTGCATTTGCATTATTTGCTGGTGAAGGCCTAGCAGGTGCCATTAAAAGTGGAAAGGAAAGCACT